TGTTGTGTTATGTTATGTTGTCGTGTGATGTTATGTTGTGTTATGTTGTGTTGTGTTGTGTTATGTTGTTATGTTATGTTATGTCATGTCATGTTATGTCATGTCATGTTATTTTTATTTTGTATTCTTTTTTGTACTGGTTGATGTCTCAAAACACCATTTCAATACACCACTCCTTCTAGGGAGGAAAAGGCATGAAATTAACTTTCAGCTGTGCCCATCCACTTTTCTCCCTACTTTGATACAGGACTCAACAAAGTTCCCAGAAATTAACTTTTGACAGGGAGCAGCAAGTCAGGGGATTTGAGACCCCCCAGGAGGAGTCTGTGAGCCTCATACTCCTGGCTGGAGACCCACATAGCTTCTCCTGGCCTAGTGTCAGCAACATCTAGGGCAGACGCTGGTAAGCGTGGGCTGCAGGATAAAGCCCACAAGGGGTGAGGCAGAGCCCAGGGAGGCGTGGCAAGGTGCTTTAGGCATCTAGGGAGAGCCGGCTCACGTGTTCAGCTTATCTTGGAAATGTAACCCCTCAGCTTTAGGTTGTACTGTTCTGCTGGGGTGGAGGAGTCAGATTTGTCCCCAGGGCATACCTGACTTGAATGGAGAATTGGATCTCAGAATTCCAGGGCATCGTGAGCTCCTCTAAGTAGATACACATGGTTTACAGAGGCCCAGAAGTAAGAGCTGGGCAAGAAGATTTAGGATTATGATCCTTTTATACTAGCTATATTTCTGCCTCCTTCACCAATGACATCCAAGTTAATCTCTCAATTGCTAAATCAGGCTGATACCATAGAATGTATAATTAGTTTGCTAGTATAGTTCTAGCATAATGTCGTTTCCTTAGAAATGCAAACCACCCATTTCTAGTTATTTCATTCCCTCAACTGGTCTATTCATGTCTGGAAGGCTGTGGTTTTTAGTTTGAAAAGTTTATGATGGTCCTGAATTTTGGACCTGCTCTCTTTTGATCCCCTTGTGATTGACTGCTTCAGACTAAGTCACAGGTATACCCAGAACCGCTGGTATCATCGAAACACACTCTCACCAGTCTTTTCTCCTTCGTTCAGGGCACATACGTGCTTCAACCGACTGGACCTTCCACCATACCCCTCGTACACCATGCTCTATGAAAAGCTGTTAACGGCAGTGGAAGAGACAAGCAGCTTTGGACTTGAGTGAGGAGATGGACCTCCCCTGACATTGTCCTGGCCAGTGACATCACCCTTTCTGGGATGATTCCCTTTTCCTTTCCCTTAACTCTCCTTTGATTTTGGTATTCCATGATTTTGATTTTCAAACCAAATCAGAATTGACGAAATCTGTGCATGAAGAACTGCCTTCTCAGAGCTAACCTTCAGGCTTATCTCCTCTGTTTTCAATGAACTGCTAGCCTGTATGCAATATTCAAAAACAGCGTCTCAAGGTCTCTGTATATCTCCACATACCTCCATTACTAACAATGAAATATGAATGCAAGTTATGCTACACTTGACCAAATGGTAATAAATGTTTACTTCCATTTCTATCATTTAGGGGAAAATCTGAGTATTAAGCATCCCAAGCTTTTATACACCCATGTCTTCTGAGCAGAGCCACCGTTTTTTATAATTTCTAACAACCAGCTCCAGAAGTAGGAGCTAATCAACTCTTTGTTTTCCTCTCACTGTACTTCTTCCTGTGCATTCTATCTATCCAAAGGACAGCAGTGGCAAAACTGAGGTTTTTATATGTTCCACTCATGATTCATATGTGGCATTAGTCCCAGCAACTGGAACTAGCCTTGACATACGGTGCAAACACGACACTTCCAACAACTATCAACAGCAAGGAAAACACCTCCGCTGACACGACGCAGTGCATCCCAGGGGATATGGATTGTGGGCTCAACTTGAGTTTGAGAAGTCTGGAGGGGAGCACCTAGTGAATGCTCAGTACACAAGAAGCACAAACTGTGCACAGGTCCAGGCAGGAAATCTGGGTGGATGCAGCACAAAGGACGCAACTTCAGCCCCATTGTGCTGTATGCTACATGCTAAAGCAGACAGGAGAAAGGGAAGACGGACATGTTATGTTGGTTTCAATACTTGAGTTCTGTACCATTTTGTTTCACTCAGTTTAGCTACAATTCTGCTTCATGAAGGAAAGAAAAGTATAATCTCCTGACTTTTGCTAAAGCCAAGTGTGACTCGCTTGGCACACAAACCTTTTTTTTTAAAACTTTGATGTTGGTTCTTTTGTGCTTTTTTCTTTTCTTCTCTTAATCGTGGTGTTCATGTTCCTTCACATCTGATAGTCCACAGGACCACACTGAACACGAAGCTGCAGCGAGTGATGGAGCTGGTTAGGGGGAGGGCATGCTACCTCTCATTCACCCATGACAACCCTCCTGGGGCAGAGACGTGACACCCCAAAGGCACGTTGATTGGTGCCAAAATAAACATCTAGTTTCTTTTAGCATTTGGTAAAAAGATATCTCAGAAAACCTAGTGTTTTCAGAAACACAGTCGCAGGCTCCAAGACAGTCCAACTCCTCAATTCCATCTGAGATAAACCCAACCATGTGGTCATTTGCTATTTTTCTAACCTTGTTATCCATGTTGTCTGAAATATGTCATAAATGAAAGTGTTTTTCTTCACTGGGAAAAGAAGAGGTAAAGGGACCACACTATTTAAATGTCACATTGTTGTTTTCAATATACAAAAACACGGGAGAGGTGTGAGAAATGTAAGACAGGTTAATTTCACATGAAGCCGTGCCTTGGACTCATCATGACAGTTTGTGTCTGGACAGTGCAGGATTTGTGTCCTCTGCACTCTAAAATAAAACATCCTCTAGTAGGAATTATTTACAATGCCCAGCACTCCTTGCTGCTGTGTATCTGTTGTTAATCAAGGAGTACATGCTATAGAAATTTAGCCTTCTATTGTTTAGACAACAACTAAAAGAGTATTTACTGAGATGGGATGGAATATGTAAGTTATATGACATAGAATTTGAGTGGTGTGTAAAATTCAATACACATTTTAGCACCTGAAAAGTAATGAATTCCAATGGAGCTATTACTTATTTATGAAATCAGAATATAAGGATTATGCAAATCAATTTACCATACCCTTACTCTAATTCTTTGAATAGCATCTCTAATATGCAGGGTATCTTTCATCTTTAAGATTTGGTGTTATGCATATGTAAGTTCTCATTATTATTCAAGCATTCAACTCTCTTTTTAGTACTTCCCTTACTCTAATTCTTTGAATAGCATCTCTAATATGCAGGGTATCTTTCATCTTTAAGATTTCGTGTTATGCATATGTAAGTTCTCATTATTATTCAAGCATTCAACTCTCTTTTTAGTACTTATATTATTCGTCAGGCATTGGAAAGGGAGAAAGCTGTTGAAAAGATGGAACCTGCTCCTGGAGAGTTTACAATTTACATAAATAATCAATCTATTAATTAGATTAATATCTATGCTACCTATATACAGAAGGAATGAGGTATCTTAGAAATTATATATTGACAGGTAACTTTAGCATAGGTAGTTTTTTTATTAACTTTTCCTTATCCACCACTGATGCTATGGCTCTAGATGTATCCCACAAAGCATAACAAAACAGTATTTCATAAAAGTGCAAAATTCCATAAAGAAATATTGATGTCAAAGTCACCTGGAAAAGTATAAAGCTTGCTCGATGGAGCCCAGGATTACATTCGACCCTGCACAGAGGGCTTAAGGGAAACAACAAGAAGAGGGCACAGAAACAAGGACGGGAAGACCCTTCATACCTTCTGTATGAGCTGACTTAAAAATTGTATATAATTTTCATTTTATATATATATATAT